CTCTGAAGGGCTGTTTCCCAGCAGCTCCAGCACATGTCATTGCACATGAACAGCGAGGCACAGGGGAGCCTCCAAAGCAGCAGCCACTGTCAGGCCAGGGGAAAAAAAGTGAAACACAAACTTCAGCCTATAGCACAACCTTAAAATGCCATCCTTGAAGACACTATAAATACTAGGAAGCGCTTTACAAGAATAAACGCAGGATTCAAGTGTTCACTTTTACGTTGCTCTGAGCACAACTTTCATAAGCACACCTGGAAACTCTTGGTGCACAATCGCCCTCTTTGCTGCACACCCACTGGTTAAAGGACAGTGACTCACAGATGTACAAGAGGATTACTCTGAAATTACATGGTTTTTTCTGTTGGTGTCCCTTCCCATAAGCCTGAAATTCCAGCCAGATTCCCAATATATCCCAAGTTATTTGAATGACACTGAGTTCGAGAAGTACCTGAATGTATTTATAACAAATTGCTGTCACCTCCTGAAGCTCAGGAACGCTACATGCGACAGCAAAGCATCAGTTAAGGTGCAGTGATTGCCACTGAGCCTCACTGGGAAACTCCAGGTTGCTCTGAACCTCTAAACAATGAGAAAAATCACCAGGATGTGGAAAACGAGAGCCCACACAGCTGAACCCCCTACATCCCCAAAATTATTCCATTAATTAAACCCCCAATAGGCCTGTGCCGGGTTTCACAGCACTATCAACTGTAATTGTTCCCTGGAACATTTCCCTGTACGTTCTGTTTTCTCGTGTCTCAGCCAGCGGGCATACGTGATCACACGAGACTCTTAGCTCTCATTAAAAAGCTGCGCATCCCTCAAGGCTACAGAGGGAAGCTCAGAAAGATTTATTCCATAAGGAGAAAAAAAAAAATAAAGGAAGGCAAACAAAAGGAGGATTATATTTTGGAATTGGACAGGCCATTATGGCTCAAATTCTGCCAAAATACGCAACCTAAATATTTCAAAATATTTCAAATATTTCAAAACTAACTGTTAAAATTGGTCAGAGTTACGGACCAGTAGAAACATGACCTGAACCTAGAATGTATTAGACAAGCTGGAAACCCTGCCTGTCATCCACCTTAAAGATGGACACAGAAGGGACATGGGTCACTGAATGTGCATATATCCCTACAGTAATTCTATCCTATAGCTTGGGCATGTTCTGCTCAAGAGGCTTTTAGGTTTTGTTAGTTTAAGGTGACAACCAAAATCCTAATCCAGAATAAGGAGCCGAATTTTCCTAGAGGGAACTAATCCCAGGTTTTACATAGCCCCAGATCTCCCTTTTTTGCTACCAACAGCAGTTTAAAGAACTTATTTCCAGTGTACCCATGACAGGTTGTCTGATCCTATTTATTCAGTCTCATACTTAAAGGGGTCAGTGGAGGCTTTGTCCGCTCAAATGCACAAGCCTGAGAAGTGTCACATTCTTCACTCCAGGGAAATGCAAGTCACGATTACACCAGAGTTAAAACTGTCCAGACGAAATCAGAACTGACCACAATCTAATCCTTTTGAGGGACAAAGTCAAAGGGTATTTTCTCCAGAAAAGACGCTTACAAAGGTCTTGCTTTTCTTGTGTCAGCTTGTTTTTACTAACGGGTCCTGTGCTCTCTATTACACAAAAATATTTAACTAATATTAAAGACAAACAAGCTGCTTAGAGAAGTAGCAGTGCTTTGATACAATAAAAATGAGATATTTCAAGGTATGTATCTATTAAAGAAAGAAAGTACTGCCTTACGTGAGCAAATACACCCAAATGGGCACTGTCCACAAGCTGTAAATGAACAGGCTAAACTGTGTTGCAGTGATTTGTGCATCTATACACAAATGATGACACTGGAGTCTCGCTTTGCCTTTGCTGAACTTCACAAGGTTCCCATCAGCCCATTTCTCCAGCCTCCCAAAATCCTTCTCAACAGCAGCCGTGCACTCAAGCATCTGGAGCACATCACTATTCCATCTGCATGCATGCTCTGGATTAAGTTAGTGGAGATCATATCTAGATTTAACTGCTGCTCTTATTTTTGGGAAATGCGTGACTTTGTCATAGAGATAAGATATCTCAAAGGAACAGAACTTTGCTTTGAAATACTGCACACCCTGCAAAGTAAAAATCATCAGGGCTCTCACATGTGATGGTGCCTGTACCCTAGATATGGGGCTGCCAGGCTGCCTAGCTCCTGTGTCATTTAAAATCAAATTACTGTGGAAAAGGAGGGTTCACCTCAGAAATGTGACTGGTAAAATACATACAATACACATCCTTCTCTCAAAAAAACCTCTCGCCTAAGTGGTTTTCTGAATCAGTATATTACACAGTAAATGTGGAGCTCTTCAAATAGTAGCAACTACAATAGGCGACTTCAAAGTCTAAGTGCAAATGGTCCAAAGAAAATCACACTAAGTGTTTGAACAAATTTCATTACCATACATGATTTTTCCAAGTTTCGTTCCCCTGTAAACTCAAGCTAACTCTTGGAAAGATTCTAACCCTCAGCAAGATGTAATACTCTAGCTGAACGCTGCTTGCAAAGACATTGCTGTGTGAAAATATGTCTCATCAAGACCCACTTGGAAACACGACATTCATTTAAGACATTATTTTTCTTGGCTGCTAAGAAAGAGTTCTTGTCTTCTATAGACCACTGTTGTCCTACCTGCACAGGGTCCCACGCCCACTTCCACTGCCTCATTATCACTTTGTACTTCTCCATGCTTTTTCAAGAGCTATCCCTTCTCATTCATTGCCAGTTAATTACCAGCAGCTCTTTTCAGTAACAACCATTCTTTTGTTGCTCATACATCTGCCAGAACAGGCGCATCTTCTAGGGTACAACTTCTCAGTGGTAGCATTACATAAATAGGTATTAACTGCCGCCCTTGTAACACAAAGGGAATCTTCTATCTCTACCAAATTTATTCTTCTTTTTGAAGTAGCACCACTGTAGCCAGAAGGTCCAAGATAGAAGCAAAGCAGAAACTTACCTTCTCTTAATCGTAAGCATTGCTCCCAAGAGGATAATAACAAACATCAGAAGACCAGCTATCACTCCGGCCATTTTCACTGTGCTGTCAACTTGTTTTTCTGGTTCCACTGCATTGGAATTCTGGGTGGAAGCGCCTTAAAAGATGGAGGGAGAGGAATAATAAAAAGAGAATTTGTAGAAAAATCATGCAATGATCCACTTTAAATATTCATTTGAAAGCCCAACAACGTATTTGCAATCAAACTGCAATAGACAATTGTCCATCTGACCAAATCTGCCTTTCATAAGGGCTAATGACAGATAATTCAGAGCAGTAATAGGGTGTAAACTCCCAGTGCAAAGCAGCTGACTCTAATGTTTTACCATATTACACTGTAATGAGGAATTTACTCTTCTGAAACACTCAGCATGCACCCAGAAGCAGCAGAATTAATAGCAGTTATAATTTTCATCTCAAATAGCTTAAGTAGAGGTGCAGCCCTTGCTCACCAAAATAATGAAATGTAAAAGCTTGCCGTTACTTGCAGAAACTTTTTTTCTTCTAAAATCAGAACACATTTTTATTTCTCACTATACTGAAGGCCTAGCTTTTGTGAACATACGGTTACAATTTTGCACGTAACCAGCATTAATCCAATGCACAGAGCACCCTCCACATCACCTAATGTGTTCCATACATGAGTTCTTGTACAGCCCAGGCAAGACAACATCATTTCTATTTGAAATTTTTTGGTTTTTAAGAGTAAAGTCTGCACAACTAAAAATAAAACATATTTAGGAATATTATTTGCAAAGCATTTCTTCTTTTACTTCCTCGGCATGATCTGACTTTAAGGGTCTTTCGCCCCAGCAATAACTGAGGACGTTGCAGATGTTGGGACTACATGTATAGTACTTATTCTATACCTTAGCTTTGCTGACTTTGCTACTTGCTGCACAGACTTTTTTTCCAGCTATAGTTTAAACCACTGAGCTTGATTTAGAAAGCCCCACAAGATTTAAGTCATGGCTACTCTAAAGACTAAATATTATATTCCTGGTGTACTTAACTACTCCTAAAAATATCACCATTGCATTTGATGAAGTTAAATGAATTCATGTTACACAACACCACAACCTTATCTTGGGCTTCACCTTTGCTGTTGGAGTCTGCCAAGTCTTCCTCTACAGCTCAAACACAGTAGGAAAAGGGAATCAAAGGTGAAAACAGAGTGCTGTCATCAGAAGACAGTAATGTTTTGCTCTTTTAACAACTTTGTGTTGCTGACCTTCAGGAGAAGCTGAATCACTTCTTTTCACAAAGTCAGTCACTTGGGGAGATAATATTCAATTGAGTCCATATGTTGGCGAGACAGCAGAAAGCCTCACTGGGTTAATTCTTTTGCTCATTTGTCACACGTTAAACTGCATATGCTTTAACAGATCTGTCTGCAAGGATGGGTCCCAATGGTTACCAAGATCAAATCATACCGCTGAATATAGGGCTGTCTGAATAGGGCCTCAGCTGGTGGGCTTCCAGGGAGAGGATGTGATCTCAAAGTTACATTCTCCTCTCATCATATCTTGAAGAGTACATATAGAACAACGATATAATGAATGCAAAACAAGAAAGCTCACCACATGCATAGATAAAAGCATGATTTCACTTTTCCTGCATCTAAGCTGTTAATCTAGTTTGCCACAGCGAAACACAATATCTACCAAGCAAAAACACTGTCTGTTTGAAACACACATGTAATTTTCAGCTTTATGTCCCTGACAACTCTACAATTTTCCCAGTCAGTTAAAAGCTCATTGATAACTTCTGTGTGCAGATGTCTGAAATGCAGTAACGGAGCTCCTGAGCATGAAAATAAAATAACGTATCAGTTGCCTATTACCATTTTTATTTGACAATATCTCTTACAATCTCGGGTCACATCTGCCCAAGAGGTGAGCTATATCATTCAGGCAATCCCAGCACTATCACACCACAAAGTAAATGACAAAGGTACAATTTTTCCCTGAAAATGGCTACAACTCTATTCACTTGAAGTGAAACTCAGAAGTACTCCAAATTATCCTTCGCTTGAGTTGCAGTTACTCCTATGACCCTAAATAATAGGTGTTAGAGAATGGTTTTCTACCACAAACAGCACAGTCAGACCCCTTCCATTTCTGTACCATCTGAATAGCCTCCTGAATTGCAAGCCACGTTAAAAAAAATGAAGAATGTGCTGTCAACTCCATCTTCTAACCCACTAGATTAGTTTGATTTTGCCAGGCTGTTCCTTGTTACTACAGGCGATGGGTGGTCAGTGTATTTTTATTTTATATTTCTCATCCCATTGTAGACTTCCACAGTTCTAGAAAGAGAATAAAGGCTTATTATCCATCCTGACACCTACACGCTGTGGTGACTGATTCACTTGAATCTTCTGTGTAACTCTTTCTATCTGTCTTGGCAAAGGCCAACAATTCCTTTAGGCTACTAGTCCAACCATTTGTAAGTTGTCTCAGCTAACAGTACCGAGGAATTGATGATATGACAGTGTCAGTAAATTCCTGGGTCTTGGATTCTTAGAGCTGTGCAATGAAACACTACTGCAAAAGTCCCTTGATTTTCTGACATATTTCCCTTGTAGATGCCTAAATCTGCTCTGGTCACTTGTACTCCCACCCACTCCACCACCAGCTGTAGGTAAGGAGAAGTTTTCTCTTCTGGCAGAAGGAGGTCTGTGAGCTGTTATTGTACTTGCAGAAGATGACTTCTGCTGCTCCCCAGGGTAACACTTTATTAGAATTAATTTTGCTTCTCTCCTTTACTGGCATGCAAGCAGATCTGAAGCTCTCTGAGCACAGAAGCCTGTAAAAACTGCTCAGACGTCCCTTTCATACAAATGTCTTTAAACACACTTGGAAAGCTCTGCACTACTGTACCCTTTTCTTTCTGAAAAACAATGTTTATATAGTGCTGACATTAAAAGGAAAGAAAATAAACTATAACCATATTTTCTGGTGGTTACTTCCACCACATTTCCTGGAATAAATTGCTCCTCATAACTGAAGCTGGATACTGGAATAATAGGATATAGACCAGGTCACCGCTGTTATTACTGTGTGTATTTCAGTGGCACCCACAGCCCCCGCAAAGGCCAGGACCCCATTACACTGTACAAACATGAAGTAGGACAATTTTCTGCCCTAAGCTTGCTTTCTTAATAAGGAAGGCAAATGACAGAAGACAGTGCCAGAGAAGTGGAGACAGCAGGTCCCTTGGCTCCCCATATCTGTGCATTATCTACCAGACCAGGCTACTACTTTCCGAGATACACATTTACGTACTGTACAGAATGCACTTTCCCAGGAGCTCAGCCAGTGGCATGAATGTGACTCTCAGAGGCATCGGCGTTCACTCGTCATTCCATTTTACATTCACAGCTATGTCACAATTTTAGTCCATTCCCACGAACCTAATTTCCTTTGCTTTCTCAGCTCTTTTCAGGATCCCCAGAGATCTGGCATCTTGCAGTGAGACAGAACACATCACACGCAGCACACTCAGGGGAGATACTGTTCTGGCGATGCTGCAGAGATGCAAAGAGAGCAGAGCAGGGGCAGTGGGGGTCTTTCCCAGAGTCACCTGCCTCATCAGCCCACAAGAAGTCAGGTTTATGGATCATCACATGCTGATGATTTTTTTTTTAGTAACACACTCACAGGTACCCAAGGTCTAATCCATCTGTTCCACTGTGGATTCATAGATACCTGAATCCCAGACTCATTCAGTAACATGCAACTACTGGAAGCACAGTTTCATATTGTACCAGCTCCTTTCAACCTTCTCAATTCTTCCTTGCTTCAGGTGATGGTTTAAGCTGGCCCTGCAGTGGCTGGAAACTTAAGGATAATAATTTTTAAATCCAAAATTAACTTCAGTATAGAGGGCTGCCACTTGTATTTCAGAGTTAAACCTTTCAGAAGATTTCTTCTGCTGAAAGTGTTTCTGTCCACAAGGAAGAGATTACGTGTTCAGCTACTTTGAGCTGGGAGATGGTTTGCAAGTGATTCCAACAACCTAAACTCCAGTTTTTGCCAGTCATAGCTAAAGAGGAAAACCTTCTCAAAATGCTAAGAAAGTGAAAAATCATCCACTTACCAGCAAGCAGTCATACATAGCGTTATACACTCCTAGAGTGATCTTCACGTGTACCTTAGACTCCCTTACTGCTCATGCAAGGTAAGTAATATGTTATGTCATTTACTTTATAGATCTGGAAAGCTTAAGGAGATGCCTTTGGCATTACAGACACCCAAGAGCAGAGCTGAGGAGTGACATTTCTGGACTGACACCCTGTGGCAATTCCATCAGATCACACAGCCTCTCAGAGACGGGGATGGGGGACGGGAGGGATGGAACGGGATGGAGGGAGAAACAGCGATGGCTGAGTGACAGATGCCATGGCAATCTTACAGCCAGCAATGCATGCAGGCATATTATTTGAAAACAATAAGCCACCAGATATAAGTGACCTCTGTGGTGGTGGCACACTGAAGAACACCCAGGAAAGAAAGCTTATTGAGTGCATGTAGCTAAACAGGACTGATAATACAAGTTCCTTATGTAAAACCTGTTTCACAAACTGTCATTAGAAACATTCTTTATGTAAAGCAGCAATTACAATATTGTATTAAAAAAAAAAAAGTAGGCAAAAGGAAAAATAATTCAAAAGAGCCATAAGCAGGAGGAAAAGTCAGGTATTTATGTGAGATTTTCAACTGACAAGGCATAAAGAACAAAGTCCTGTGATGGACGTGGTGCCACACTCATCAGTAGCCCTGTCACTGCCCTGGAGAGAGAATTGTCTGATACCACAACAGGAGGAGAGAAAGCAACAAAATGGGTCTGAGGACAGCTAGGTCAAATCACCAGGGACAAGAAAAAGGCAGTGCAAGTGTAAATGAGGGAGGGACAAAATGAGAGACGCAACACAAGCAATGGGAGGTTCAGCCACGGCCAGATGACAGGAAAGACCCAGAGAGGGGATAAGTCAGTCTGGCAAAGATGAGGTTTGGTTTCAAATTTTTAACACCTAGATTATAACTTCTCTTGAAATAAAAAGCAATCAGAAAAATTACTTCAAAGGATTATTTA